CACACAATCATACATAATCACACCCAGTCAAACATGGTCACAGATTATCACACATAATCACAGATTATCACACATGGTCACACATAGTCACAGATGGTCACACACAGGGGCGGCGGAACCGGGGGGGCTAGGGGGGCTTTAGCCCCCCAGAAGTAAAAGTGGAGGGGCTTAGCCCCCCAAAAATTTCATGAGGAATGCCAGAATGGGAGATTAAATATACAAACTACGTTACCACGAAGTCGACAAATTAAAGGTCGCCGGCGTAGTAAACGTTAATAAGATATCCTATATTGTGATACGGATCAAGTGAATGTAAATTAACTTTCTTTGACCTTTCATAGTTGTGTTTAACAGCAGAATATTTGTGGTTGTATATTGTTATTATTTTCGTACCGCCATTTTAGAATTTGAGAGATACTTCGTGTAAAGTTGCATTATATTACACTATAAATTAAAGATATCTTCTGTTACCCAAATCTACCCCTAGTGTTACTTTAGATCCTCGTAAATGAAAGTGAAAATACTATAAAATATTGTGCATTGGTCAACGATGCAGGAATGATGAAGCAATCGAAATTGAACAGGTTTTTTTCGCGTCTAGCACCAAAGAGACATAGGGTTGACGATTCTGCCAATTCGCAAGATAGTCGAGTGGATGTTGGGGACGAAAATGATGCCTGTAGTGAGTCGGTTACTAACTCTATAACAGACGTAAACATCGACGAGTTGATTTGTTCAGGCAGTGCTCCAAGTTCAACTCGTAGAGAGTCGATACAGACGTATTCGACGTTGATCAACCAAGGTAAAATTGAAATTAATACATTTAACTCACTAAAATTGTTAGTGATTATATTCTGTGGACTGAGACTGTATTGTATTAACGATTTCTATGTGCAGACATAATTTTAATATAGCAAGAAAACGTTGCTATAAGACGCTTCCATTACAAATTACATATATATACTAAATGACACCATGATATATGGTTTTGTTTCCCTTGTGGAAATATTTTGAATAAATGTATTCTAAATTTGAATCTAAATTTGCAGCTTATCAAATGCATCTAAGGAAACAACTCAGGGTGGTGACGGTGGTCTAAGCCAGATAACACAGTGCAATGGAGAATGCTGCATTCTTGAACAGACTCAACGATACCAACCGAATGTGAACTATTCAAAGATAACAAAGAAATTTCAAAGTAGTCAATACCGGTTGTTTCGGCCTGAATGGTATAAGACATATAACTGGTTATCATTTTGTGTCACAGAAAAAAATATTTTGCTTCTATTGTCGGTTTATTTGCAGTAGAGACATAAAATTTAGCGAGAATTGTGAAGATTCTTTCGCCAGCAAAGGATTCGACAACTGGAAGAAAGCCAATGAAAAATTTGGAAAACATGAGAAGTCTCAAACTCATTGAGAAGCATTTTTTAAGTTTAAAGCCCTTCAAAAACCTAGCATTTCTGCACAAATTACGTGGCAACATGCTAGCGAACAAGCTAAACAAAGGAAGGCTCTACTAAAACAATTGTCATCCCTGATATACCCAGTGCGACAAGGATCAAGCAATTAGAGGGCACAAAGAAGATGAAGGTAACCTAATCGAACTTCTAAAGTGCCGTTCAGAAAATGTTCCGGTTATCAAAGATTGGTTAAAACACAGTTCATACAAGTCCCATGATATCATCAACGAGTTAATTCAGCTAATGGCACATGAAGTGCTATGGACGCTCCTCCATGATGTACGCCAAACTGAGTGGTTCGTTCTAATAGCTGATGAAACAAGAGACATAAGTGGCTCAGAGCAACTGTATTTGTTGATGGTGAACTGAAAAAATACAAATAACCAGCAAAAATAGATTAATCACAATTACTGAATTATCAAAAGTTTGACAATGATATTATGAATAATTCCAGTTTTGTCAATGTTATTCATCAAGTAGCGGCGGAAATTCTATTCAAGGAGAAATATGAACTAAATAGTTTTTGTCAAAGTTCATCTCAAAAACATTCTCGGAGGGGAGTTTGACTCTATATAGTTTACCCCCTGCCACTTTCTAACACACCCTGAGAGTCGTGATGATCACTTACTGTTGCATCGTGCGACTAATGAGCGACTCTCCACATGCAGTTTACGGGTTTTCCCATATCGAAAATCAGGTTTGCCCAATGAATTCCCGAACATCACACCCTTCCAAACTGTACCGATTGCCCCCAAACGATGGGTGTAAAGCAGATATACAATCTGCTTTATTGAGTCAGTCCTAAGTTTCAACAGACTGTGAACTCTAATCCTCTTAGCACTTTTTAGACAGGGTAAATGTTTCAGTGATTTTAAAAAAGATATGTTAAATTTGTTTTTTAGGCAATGTTTCTTCAGGGTTCAAACAGTTATGAATGGAAGACTTGGAAGGTTTTTAGATGAGTTGAATACATCATTTGGATTTGGTGTATTGACCAGCGATTTGGAACCAGTAGAGTTTGAAAACTTTTTGAAATGGCTAATGAAAAATTATTTTAGGTAACTTGTGCCTGGGGTCTTCTGTGCTTCTACATACCAGTCAGTTGTCTCATAGAGACTAATACAAACAATAAAATCTAATTTGAATAGAAAATGTCGAATCAACAATAGAAAGGATATGTTCGCAGCTGCCCCTTGCATTGGAAGACAACCTAATACTAACATTTGGGGTGGTTGCAGAGAATATGGAGATTTCTGAAGATGGGAGTTTGGTTGATGCCCACAATGCCTCCTTTGTGTTTATTAAAAGTTTGTTTGGTTCAGAGACACACAGTGCAATATAGATCTTTCGCTAAGCTCATTAACATTGGGGAAGTCGTTGGTTCCCTCATGTCCTCACTTCACCATAATGGTTTAGCAAGCATTTTTACAATCGGTATGGTACAATAATGTGTTATTAGGAGACTTAACCCCATGAAACTTTAACTTATTATTACTTAAACTAGAAACTTATTTTAGTACAAATCTCTACACGAAATGCTTTACATGTCCAAGTCGTGAGTGTGCATTCGAGGTACAAAGTAGTGGATTTAGTTGAAAAAAAATCTGACTTCGAAAACAAAATCTACCCGAAATCTCTTACAACCGTGTAATATACTAAACTAATCTTTACAGCTGCAATATTGATTGGTCTTCATCACGAAGCTATTATCAATGAGCTCAAATATTGTCCAACACCAGTGGTTTGTGGGACCAACCAACTGGGGAAGACAATGTCAGCTAGAAGTGCCTTAGCACAGTATACTTCTGATTAGTAAACAAATTTGACCACATTTTGAGTTGTTAAACTCTAGCCACTTGCAAACATGTGTATAATTGATTAAATGCTTTTGATTTAAATAGATGTTGACTTGTGTGAATCCGTATGTCAGCTTTTCACCAGATAAATAAAAAAATAAGTTAGTGGTGTAGCCATTTGTCTATCTGCCTTGTACGATCTGATCACAATGAGTGGAAATACACCTTTCGTTGCACACTTAACCATTTCTGTCGAAGGTGTAATGTCGTTAGATATTCTTTTATCCATCTGTTCCAAAAGTGGTTTGCCAATATCTGAGCTTGTCTCCATTTTCTTCTCGTCATTATGGATTCTTGGTTGAATTCTCCGGGAGGCAAAACAACTGCGGGTTTTTGAAGTAGGAGATGAGCAGGAGAAATAGCTGTTGCGTCACTTGCGTCTTCACTCGATTTCGTTAAGGGACGTGAGTTCAGGATGGATTCAACTTCCACGAATACTGTTTGTAAAACATGATTCGTGACAAGAGATTCCTTCAAAATGGCTTTCAATGCGCGCTTGACATCTTTAATTAATCGTTCCCAAACTCCCCCGAAGTGGGGTGCATGAGGTGGGTTAAATATCCAAGTGATGCCTCTTTGCGATAATTTCTCCTGTAGTTGATTTTCGTTCCATTTCGTTATAGCAAGTTGCAATTCATTATCAGCACCACGAAAATTTGTTCCACAATCAGTACGTATTTCACGGGGTGTCCCTCTCCTAGCAATAAATAATCGCAGTACGTTTATAAAATCGTCCGTTTCTAACGATGGGGCCACTTCTAGATGGATTGCTTGGGAGCACATACACATGAAAATACATCCCCATCTTTTGGGTGTTGAACGTCCTTGTTTTACAAGTATTGGTCCAAACATCTGCACCGACATAGGTAAAGGGGGGTTCATAAGCCATGACACGACAAGGTGGTAGATTTGCCATCTGCTGGTGCAACATTGGTGCATGTCCTCTCCTGCAGACAAAACACTTGTGGATGATTCTTCTAACCAAGGAACGCGCTTGACAAATCCAAATTCTTTGACGTAGTAGGCTTAGCGTGTGCTCTTGACCGATATGAGCATTGTTATTGTGTATGTGTCTTGCAATAAGCTCGGCGACCCAATGATGTTTCGGTAAGATGGGAGGAAATTTCGCATCGTAGCTCAACGGTGCGTGTTCTAATCTGCTTCCGACTCGAATTAGATCATCTTTGCCAATAAATGGATTTAGCTTCGCAATACTACTGGACACTTTAACTTTGTTTTTCCCACTGCGAAGGGCATCAAATTCTGTTAAGTATTCATTTCGCTGAATGATTCTTATGATATTGTGTTCTGCATCTTCTAATTCAGCTAAAGTAGGTTTCCCACGCAAACAACTACAATTCTTGGAATGACAATTTCGCAGATGACTTTTGAATCTTGTTAGCCACACGACTTTACTTTTTAAAGTGTTCCATGTGGAATATCTCTTCAATATTTGATCGAAACTGGATGTCTTCACATCAAACAGCAAGTTCGCCTGGGCACTTTCGATGAGTTCAGGATCATCACTAGCCAGTTTCCCCGACAAGGTCTTTGGCCAAGTCGGTTCAGCACCTTTCAGAAATGGTGGTCCATTCAACCATCGACTTTCGGATGTCAACTTCGCTGGATTTAAACCACGAGAGGCGTTGTCGCCTGGGTTCTCTTTACTGGGACAATACCGCTACTGGGATATTTCCGTCTTCTCTTGAATTTCTGCAATGCGATTTCCCACGTAAACTGTGTACCGTTTACTTTCATTTTGGATATATTTAAGTACGATTTCGGAGTCTGTCCAGTAGTAAACTCGATTGAATTTGATCTCTATCACGCGCTGTATCATTTCACCAATTCGGACTGCTAGAACCGCCGCTTGCAATTCCAACCGTGGAATTGTGATTTTTCGTAAAGGAGCAGCCCGGGATTTTCCAAAGACAAGCGCACAGGCAACTGTTCCATCGATAAAGGTGGTTCTTACATACGACGCAACTCCATAACCAATCTCACTTGCGTCGCTGAAGTTGTGGAGTTGAACGTCTTTTGGATCTTTAGTTTGGATTGACGATTTTGTTATAATATTGGATTTATAACAACGCGGTATCTTCACGTTTGAGAGGGCTGGTAGTGCTGATTTCCACTGTCTCCATTCCACCAGTTCTTTGTCTGGAAGTTGGGAATCCCAGTCAATCTTCAGTTGCCATAATCTTTGCAACTGGCATTTAGCGAGCAGCGTCACGGGGGCAACAAGACCAATTGGATCGTACAGACTTGCGACAGTCGACAAAATTCCTCGCTTCGTTTCTGGTTTGTCTGAGGCAATGGCTTTAAACTCGAATACATCTGCTTCAACGTTCCATCTCATGCCTAGAGCTCTTTCCACTGGTAACTTGTCCATAGTGAGATCAAACGACGGATTTGCTCGTTCTAATTCTGGAACTGCGGCGAGAACTTTCTTACTGGAACTCATGAATTTCGTTAGACGGAAACCACCTCTTCGAAGAAGATCAATCATTTCGCTGGAAAGTTCAATCGCTTGCTGTTCGCTGGGCAGAGATTTTAGCAGGTCATCAACATAGAAGTCTTTCTTTACCGCATCAACAGCTGATTGGCTGAAATCACTCGAGTTATCTTCGGCTGTTTTCCGTAATGCAAAGTTAGCGATTGAAGGAGAATCTTTGGCTCCAAATATGTGCACATTCATTTGGTACGTCTCTGGAGGGCCGTCCAAATCAGATGGGAGCCACAGGAAACGTAACGAATCGCGATCTTTCTTGGGTACCTTTACTTGATGGAACATTTCCAGAATATCGGCTACAACCGCTATTCTTTCTTTGCGAAAACGTATAAGCACGTCGACAATTTCGTTGGCCAGATTGGGTCCTTGCAGCAAATTATCGTTCAGAGATGTGTCTTCGAATTTAGCTGCAGCGTCGAAAACTATACGAGTTTTTCCAGGTTTTGCTGGGTGGAAAACGGGATGATGGGGGAGATACCACGTAGTTTCTGAAGTACTCGATGCTTCGTCTGGCCGTAGTTTTCTCGCGTATCCCTTTTTCACATATTCTTCAATTTTCTCACGATATTTCTGATGTAAGACATTATCTTTCTTCAAGCGGTTCTTTAGGTGTTGAAGGTGCTTAAGGGCTACGTACCGTTATTGGGTAGTTGAGGATTATTTCTGTTCCACAGCATTCCTACTTCGTAGTGATTATCAACAATAGTTGCGGATTCTTCCATCATCGTTAGTGCCTTTCTATCTTCAATGGACATAGATTTTTGAGTGTCAGACACCACACCAAGGCCATCTGCCTTAAAGTAACGGTCAACTTGCTCTCTCAGACACAACTCTGCGGGATCAGGGTTTGAACGTTGTAGAAGATGAACATCAACATTATTCGATCTTTCACGGTTAGTTGGTCCCATTAGCGCCCAGCCCAGTTTATATTTGAACGCCCACGGTTCACCAGATCCACCAACTCTGACTTGCACAGTAATAAAAACTGTTGGATTATCAGCCCCGATTAGCAATTGAATTTCTCCACACTCGACATCAGGAAAGTTTACGTCCGACAAATGTTTCCATCCCAGCAAATTGTCTTTTCTTGGCACAACTTTAAGGTGTACATCGAAGTTATCAGTAACTATTACGTCTCTTACTAGAAGCTTCGAATCTTCATGGGTTTGATCTACGGCTTCAACAGTGACTGTTACCTTTTCGGCGTTGATTGAAGTGGATCCAGTTAACGATTTTATGGAAAGTATACTCTTAGTCCCCTTTAGGTCGAGATCTTTGGCTAGGTTACTGTGTATAAAGGTGGCTTCGCTCGCTTGATCTAACAGGGCGTACGTTGACTTACTTTGGCCAGTTGGTCCCCGAACTACAACTGCCATGACTGGGAGTGCGGTTGCACCCTTGTAGACATCTGGAACAACATTCGCTGCGTTTGTCTGAACATTAGCGTCACACGTAATTACTTTTCGATGCTCCGACTTATCAACATTGATTTGTTCTTTCTTCGGTTCTTGGTTGTTCAAATGCAAAAGTCTGTGATGTCTTCGATTACAACCGTGAACGTCGCATTTAGAATATCTGCAAGTTCGCTTGTAGTGACCAAATGACAAACATTGAAAACATAGTCTAGATTCTAGGACGACCTTTTGTCTTTCAACGACTGTCATATTCAGGAACGTTGGACACGATTGACAGCGGTGACCATGTTGACATACGGGACATACCGGTGTTGTCTGGACAACTGTACGGTCGGACTGTTTTGGTGCAAATTGTGTTGCAAAACTTGAAATTCTTGAAGCATTTGTATTTGAGTCAGAGTATCTTTTCTTTCGGATGACGTCGGTTTTATTCAAGTCTTTCAAATTACCAAATACTGGATTATTCTCGGAACTTGCTCTTTCTTGTAGGAATTCCACCAAGTCGAGGAAACTGGCGAGCTTACTTCTAGATTTCAGTATTGAACTTGCACGATCTCTCCACTTGGCTTGGTAATGGTATGGCAAACGGGCGACCAATCTTCTCATATGATCGGTGTTAACTTCGCTAAGACACTTCATAGCTTTCAGAGTCTTATAAACAGATTGACACTTGTCGGCTAATTTCTGTAAGCCTTTTCCATCTCCACTGTTTATGTTCGGACCTTTGACAAGTGACCCAATGGATGCATCGACAATCATATAAGGTTGCCCAAAGTGAGTCTCGATAACTTTTAAAGCTTCTTGCAGCGCGCCATCACCCATACCTTCATAATCTTCTACGGCTTCTTTCGCCTTCCCGTCTAAGTACTGCATCAAGCGACTAAGCTTTTTACTTTCGCTGATCGGCTGTGAAAGAACTTGATCTTTAAAACAGGTGGCAAATCTCCAATATTCTTTCGGATCACCAGCAAATTTAGTCACTTCCATAAGCGGCGTATTCGACAAACTGGCGAAGGTTTCGACTAGTCGGTTAATTGTGTCAGTTTCATGAGGAAGAGAAACAGGGGCGCTTGAATGCTTTACCGGTTTTTCTTCACTTCTATGTGGTATCAAAACAGGGAATTTCCCTTTTGTGTCTATATAGGTCGCTTTACGCGGCGATGCAGGACAATATTCAAATTCTAATTCGTCAAACGTGTTCTGCTCATATTCAACAGCGAACTGCTCTTCAAGCTTAGCAAGTTCAAGGTTGTCTTCCAAGTCTCGCAATTCAACGATCTGCCAAAGCTCTAACATGTGTTGTTCAACTTCCTTTTTCAGATTTTGCCGCTTGCGAAGTTGATCTAAGGCTAGTTCGGCTTTCTGTCTTTTCAATCGCGCGTCAAAAGACCTCGTGCTTATATTAGATTTGACGCTTGAATGGTTTGATCTTAATGATTTATTCGATTCATTGATGCTAGCTTCGCTTCTCGTTTCATAATCGTCTTCGAGACTTTTATCTACTTTTCGAGTATGTTCGACTGTACATGCTTCTAAGTACCGACTAATTATATCTAAAGGTTCGGTTCTTTTTTGAGACTGTTCGTCAAATACCAAGCGAGCATTTTCAACAGCTAAAGTATCTCCAATAGCACATGCTAATATTTCATCATGAACAAAGGAATAGCGTTCCCAGTGACGATTAACCATATCACGCAATTCTCTCACTTCACTAGCATACTTAGTTTCTGGTAAAAGTATTCTTATCTTATTATATAACTCCGTCAGACATCCTTGGTGGCTACTTCTAGATCTTTTTAGCTTCACCAGTCTTTCTGCGTTTACAGCATCCAAGTTCAAACGAACGTTAGGTCTTCTCTCACGGCAAATTCGCTCTCCTCCACTAACAATATGTTCGTTACTCGTTCTATCGCCGTCAAGGTCAATTCCCCCAAGTCTACCAGCCGTATTATCACTTTCTGAGGTTAGTTTTGCCTCATCCATTATCTCCAAGGTCTTTAACACTTGGATCTTTAATATAATCCGGTTCGAAGGACCAAAAATGTAGCTTCAAATTCTTCGCTTCTCGTTTCATAATCGTCTTCGAGACTTTTATCTACTTTTCGAGTATGTTCGACTGTACATGCTTCTAAATACCGACTAATTATATCTAAAAGTTCGGTTCTTTTTTGAGACTGTTTGTCAAATACCAAGCGAGCATTTTCAACAGCTAAAGTATCTCCAATAGCACATGCTAATATTTCATCATGAACAAAGGAATAGCGTTCCCACTGACGATTAACCATATCACGCAATTCTCTCACTTCACTAGCATACTTAGTTTCTGGTAAAAGTATTCTTATCTTATTATATAACTCCGTCAGACATCCTTGGTGGCTACTTCTAGATCTTTTTAGCTTCACCAGTCTTTCTGCGTTTACAGCATCCAAGTTCAAACGAACGTTAGGTCTTCTCTCACGGCAAATTCGCTCTCCTCCACTAACAATATGTTCGTTACTCGTTCTATCGCCGTCAAGGTCAATTCCCCCAAGTCTACCAGCCGTATTATCACTTTCTGAGGTTAGTTTTGCCTCAGCCATCATCTCCAAGGTCTTTAACACTTGGATCCTTAATATAATCCGGTTCGAAGGACCAAAATGTAGCTGCCACTGCTTGGGTTCCAAATTTTTATGACTGCTTTTTTCGCCTTCCTGTCTAAGTACTGCATCAAGCGACTAAGCTTTTTACTTTCGCTGATCGGCTGTGAAAGAACTTGATCTTTAAAACGGGTGGCAAATCTCCAATATTCTTTCGGATCACCAGCAAATTTAGTCACTTCCATAAGCGGCGTATTCGACAAACTGGCGAAGGTTTCGGCTAGTCGGTTAATTGTGTCAGTTTCATGAGGAAGAGAAACAGGGGCGCTTGAATGCTTTACCGGTTTTTCTTCACTTCTATGTGGTATCAAAACAGGGAATTTCCCTTTTGTGTCTATATAGGTCGCTTTACGCGGCGATGCAGGACAATATTCAAATTCTAATTCGTCAAACGTGTTCTGCTAAACGTGTTCTGCTAAAGTATCTCCAATAGCACATGCTAATATTTCATCATGAACAAAGGAATAGCGTTCCCACTGACGATTAACCATATCACGCAATTCTCTCACTTCACTAGCATACTTAGTTTCTGGTAAAAGTATTCTTATCTTATTATATAACTCCGTCAGACATCCTTGGTGGCTACTTCTAGATCTAGATCACACAGCGCGTCTACAACACCTCCATCAGATACAGACAAATTGAGGCAGGAGATCAAAACACTTGACATCGGTGTGACAAAAAATGCTAAGCAATTTTTTATAGGTATTGTTTAGAGTGCAAGACTAACCTAAAATTACTTTAAGAAGGAAATTTAATTTAAAGTAGCAGTGCGTGGCATAGCTACGCAAGAAAGCAAGATTCAAGAAAGTACACTGCGCAAAAAGCAGAGTATTCCAGGCTCTATACTTCCAAATATTGGCAATATTGTAACATATTCCGTGATATTTTGTGGGAATATTGCCTGAATACGGGTTGTATTCTGACCAGAATATCTTGGAATAAGGCACACTTGATATTCTGCATCAGAATATGCCAGAATATTTTTATAATGTAAGTAATATAAGTTTTATAATGATATATATACATATATACATGTCAAATTTATCTGTTAAAAACAACACTATAAGTCTATACAATTGCTGAACGCTGTAATGGCTTGCACAGTGTTAAGGTGATAACCTGAATATATATATTTGCTATGTTTATATATAGAAAAGTTTCCAAGGTGTATATGCGTAGCTATAGATATCACAATTTTAAATCGACCAGACCCAACCAGAAAGGTTATAAAATAACATGCAGATAGTATTAATCTAATACCGCCAAAGATCTCTCTGGGAGTGATTTTTATATGTAGGGAACACTATTAGCTACGTACACAAAGAACAATAAAGCACCGTGGTCTCCTTAGCATATTGAACAGCTTGAGTTTAATTATAGTTTTTTGTTAATCAGCCAATAAATATTAAGCCCCGTTTACATTGCATGCAGTCAGCTTATTGGGACCGCGTGGATGAAATGCGCACATGTACCCATTTTAGAGCTAGTGCAATGGGGCTCTAAACTAGGACGGCGGAGAGTGATGGAGTCTGTCTGTCAATTCCGTTTGAGATACAAGCTTGATCCATAACTAAAAGCTTCACTAAGTTTTAATTAATTGCATGTGTGATATATAGTTAGTGCATGTTTCTGGGCCTATATACAAGCCTAAAGGCAGATTAGCATTCTCCATGCAGTGCAAAGTATATAGATTGCTAGTCTGATTGCAAGGGCAAATGGCTATCTGAAATATTTCTTCTGTATATCTTTTAAGTTGTTAAATCTTATATGTTCTGACAAGAATTTTTACCTCTTATTTCGCCACTACAGGGTGTATCAGAAAAAAGGAGACCTTTAGAAATCAAGCTATTATTAAAATTTGAATGCCTTTTCAATTGCATTTGCACATATGGTGCTCCTGGGAATTTGAAAATAACTTTAATAGCATATAAGAAAGAATAACGACCCAAAAATATTCAAATGACTGAGCACACTACCAGTACAAAAATGGTTCAACTGACTTCGAAGCAAAGAGTTTTTGTAGTCTTAACTTATACCCAGACTCGCAGTGTAGCTGAGGTGCAAAACGCTTTTCGAGAAAGGTTTCGTGATCGCAATCCACCAGTAAAAAGTACAATTTTTAAAAACGTGTGAAAATACTCGAATGAAGCAACGAGTGTAATAATTGAACAGTGTAATGCATTACGAGGGCAGCCTGTCGTCATCAGAAAAGCAGTTTGCGATATGCACAATAGTGTGTGTTGAGAGAAATGGAGGCCACGTTGAAGGATGTTCAATTTATCAGTAATTTTCAATCCAGATCGAAATGTCAAGTGAATCTGTGTCAGATCAAGTTGTAATTCATTCCTGGCTCATGTAAACATTTTAATAGCCAAGGTGGAATGCTGAGCCATTCCGGATTCAAAGTCAATTCTAACTCATGTGAACAGCCCTAATACTCGCACACATTGTTAAAAATTAATGGCAAATATTTGTTCATGTTTTGAAGGAACAGCTAAAACAATCTACCATGCATACTGTTATTGCTTTTGTGCTTAGTCATTTGAATATTTTTGGGTCGTTATTTTTCTTTATGCTATTAAAGTTATTTTCAAATTCCCAGGAGCAGACAATCTTGTGTGCAAACATTAATTCATTTTCTAAAGGTCTCCTTTTTCTAATGTATGCATGCACGCCATCAATATTTCATGCACTATGGTTCAGCATATGTGCAAATGCAATTGAAAAGGCATTCAAATTTTCACAATAGCTTGATTTCTAAAGATCTCCCTTTTTTTGATACACCCTGTATATATAAAACAATATACCATTTAATTCAACATTTTTGTAAACTTTTGATAAATAGAACTGATGTAACTAGACTTAGACCAGTTAATAACTTATATACTTTATACCGGCTTCATAAGGTCAGGACGGTCCAGTAAGCAATGCAAGTAAAGTTGATTGTCACACACATTGACAAGAAAAGTGATTGTCAAGAAAATGCATAAGGCTTGTCTCAGTTGTCTGGGTGATTTTGCCAAACTAAATTTATAATAGCGAGATAAACTGCGATCTGGTAGTTATGAATTCCCACAAAATGCAAGCTTTTTTATTATAGATCTTTATTTCAATATTATTATAAAGCCTTTGGTTTTTGTTAAAAACGGTTAGATATGTACCAATGGCCGTGTAGTTTCCCGCTGCAATTTGCGTTCATTAATTTTGTAAACAATGCTATTGCGCGTACAGCCCAAGCATTCTAATGGTTCCTACCATCATCACAAGGGAGCTAAACTGCGATCTGGTAGTTATGAATTCTCGCAAAATGCAAACTTGTATATTTATATATTGTCACCAAACTCGTAATAACTTCCGTGGAACGGGAAAAGGCTATAGCGAAAGTTGAGAGCATGCGAATTTTGTTTGCCTCACTTTAGTCTCTTTGAATACAAAGATTTAACCGCAGTTCATGCCCGTTATCGTTATGTTTTTTAATTCTCCAGTATCAACTCAAAGTGACAAATCGCGAATGGCGAACGTGAAATTATTTATAATTAGGGCCAATTAGGACAGTCACATTAATAAAAAGTCAAAAACCATGACAGCGTGTATCAGTTCTAACTTTTGCAATAAAATATGGTAAACTAGAAGCAAATCGTGTACTATAACTATGCTTTACATCTTCAAAGAAGGAATAGAAAGATTCAGGCAGTTTCTCATAATGAAAATCGTACATAAAAACTGCAGTAGATAAGTAGACAAGATCGTGTAACTTAATAATTTTAAGTTTTAGAAAGAAAGGGTTGGTATGGTCATTATACTCAGAAAATGTGATTAACCTGACCAACTTCTTTTGCAATATAAAAAGTGGATTTAATGAAGAATGGTAGGTATTTCCCCAAGAAATTAGACAATACGTTAAATATGGATACACCAAAGCATAGAAAAGGCTTGTGAGAATATCCAGATCAACTTAGTGTCTTAATTTTGAAATTACTCCAATATTGCGTTTGATTTTCTTCGACAAGTGAGAGACATGATCCTTCCAATTTAAATGGCAGTCAATGACTACACCTAAATATTTCATTTTATGCTCACGTTTTAAAAATTTACCAATCAAAATTAGCTGAATATTTACTGCAACCTTTTTCTGAATTGGATGAAAAATAACGAAGCTGGATTTATCAATATTAAGTGACAATTTATTAGCACATAGCCATGCACTAACATATTTAATTTCATCATTGATGGAAGACTCCAACCTTGATAAATGTTTATTGGTGTAGAAAATGTTAGAGTCATCTGCAAATAAATGAAAGTCTAACATTTTTGAACAGTTATGAAAGTCATTTACATAGATCAAAAAAAGAGTTGGGCCTAACACTGATCCTTGGGGTACACCACAAGAACTATGTAGCATATCAGATTTAACATTGCCCAATGAAACAAACTGCTTTCTGTTTTCTAAGTATGATTTAAACCAGTCATTAGTTATGCCTCTTATTCCATAAAATTCAAGTTTTTGTAACAGGATTGTGTGATTCACTGTATCAAAGGCCTTAGATAAATCCAGGAAAATGGCACAAGAATAATTGCCATCATCAATGGCTTTTTGTATTTTGTCTATGATAGAGAGAACTGCATGCAACGTAGAATGATTCTTCCGAAATCCAAACTGTGTGTCATACAAGAGGCTATGTTTAGTAATGAAACTGTTCAACTGTCTGCTGACAAATCTTTCAAGGACACCATTAAATATTGAAAGTAGTGAGATGAGACGATAGTTATTAAGAATGAGTTGGGAACCTTGTTTATGAATTGGAATAATACTAGCAATTTTAAATTTATCAGGTACAGTATTAGTAGAAATTGAACAATTAAATATTTCCTCTAAAGCTACAGATATAGGTTCTTTAATCAATTTCAATATTTGAACTGGGATACTAAATGGTCCAGAACTTTTTGACACCTGAAGATTTCCTATTTCGACAGCAATTTCCCTTGCCGAGATTGGATTTAAAAAAAAAACTATTCGGTTGCCTACAATTTGGCATATATGATAAAGGAGATGTGCTTACAACAGGAACAGAATTAGCAAGATTATTTCCTACACTAGCAAAATAATCATTAAATGATTTTGCTATTTGATATGTATCAGTCAATTCACTGTTTCCAACAAGAATCTTAGATGGTATATTATTAGTAGATGGTTTCAAAGACACAATTTGTTTAATCCCCTTCCAAATATTTTTAATGTGAGATTTATTGCAACTGAAATAATTGTTATAATATTTTAATTTACTAATTCTCATCAGGTGATTTAATTTATTTCTATATAACTTAAATTTAAGATGGTAATACTCTGATTGTGTTTTAATAAACTTCTTGTAAATATTGTTTTTTATTTTCAGCGAGTTTCTAATACCAGAGGTTATCCATGGTTTGGAGAGGGATTTAATTTCCTTATTACTCATTTTCCTATTAGGAATATGTTTATCAACAATATTCGACAATTTTGAATGGAATGTGTCAAACAGTAAATTAACATCTTCATTATCAGACAGGCTATTAGCCCACTTGACAGCCTGTATTTCCTGAAGGAAATTTGTTTTGTTAAAATTTGAATAATCTCTCCTGTATAATTCAAAATGTTTAGGTAGAGTAGAAAATTTGTTTATAATAAGGAAATTAGGAAGATGATCAGTTAAGTCATAAACAACGTTCCCACTAATTGTGTGTTGACTTATAGAATTAAAGAAAATATTGTCAATTAAAGTGGCAGAATGATGAGTTATACGTGTAGGTTGAAATATGTGAGGATTAAAAAAGTATGATCCTAAGGTATTTATAAATTCTTCTGTTGGTGGGTGGGAGTCACAATTTAAAAGATTTAGATTGAAGTCACCCATCAAAACACAAAACTTTTGTTCATTATTAATCCTATCCAAAACACAATTTAAAGAATTCATGAAAGTTGCAATATCACTATGTGGATGTCTATAAATTACTCCACAGATGATATTGTGATTAAGGTTACTTTGGATCTCAATCCAAAGAGTTTCAAGGCCGGCTACTGCCTTGGATAAATCATGTCTGACACTGTAACAAAGAGAATCATTTATAAAAAAACCAACACCTCCAGCATTAGATAAACTGGGTTGGGAAATAAATGTGTAACCCTCTAAGACATGGTTGCATATGTTATGCTGAAAAGATTTTATCTTAGTTTCAGTAAGACCTATAATCCAGAAATTATATGAAAATTCAGAAAGCATTTGTGTCAAACTATCGAAATTAGAATTTAGACTTCTTATGTTAGAGTGTAGTATGGAAAAGTGATTAGATGAAATACAGTTTTTTTAGTATCATTGCCTCGGAATTCTTCAGTAGTGTAATATTTAAAGCTTGACTGGCTTGGGATGTTCAAATCCGGATCAAGATTAGAAATATTATTTTGGTGATTCACAGTTTGTATCAAGTCCAGCAAAGGCAAATTGTCTAAACCATGTATAGATTGTTCAGGAGAATACATTATGGGGATAAACTAACATAAAACTAAATTGTATACTCATCTCAAATAACAAAAAGATCAAATAATCTTGTCAAGATCCTTTATCTCAGAGATACTGATTACAGGACTATATTCATCTTTACGTATTAATGTTCTGCCAACTGAAGTCCAGATCAATTTGTAGTTGAGTTGTTTCTTCTTCTCCAAGCATAAATTAAAGAGTTTACGATTGTGTTGAGTGAGGCTTTCGCCTATGTATATCTTATGCTCAGCCACTCTTGCTAATCCAACATCTTTTGTCGATTTATCTCGAAGATATTTTCTTGAAATATAAAATTTATCTCATACATCATGACGAACAAACTTCACTATTATAGCTGGGTCATTTCGAGAAGGTCCAGCTCGGCTGGTATTGTTGGACCTAGCAGCAAGGCGATGGCTAACCGAAATATCTTGGTCCTTGACTTCAACGCCAATTAAAAGGCCAACTGATTTGACTACATCATTGCAATTTTCATTTCTCTGAACCGGTATTCCCCTTAACTCGAGACAATCTCTTCGTGAGTATTGTTCGGCGTTGTTTAGATCCTGCTTAATCATCATAATACTGTTCGTCGCATTTTGTAATTCGGCTTTTAAACATCGATTCTCTTCAGTAAGATTAGAATTTATTACTTCTAGATCCTTTAATTTTGGTTTAAAGTCATCATATTCTTTACTCAAGAAGGCAATCGACTCTTCTAATTTTTCGATTTTATCCATCTTCAATTGTAAATTTTCTAATGTTTTGAGCACTGGATTCAGCTTTTTATCCAAAAGTTTGCTCATAGCCTGTTCAAGCGATTTCTGATCCTTCATTAAGTTAGAAGAGAGAATAATTGTACAAAATAATCTCAAGTTTTAAAAAAAAATCAGAGAGCGAAACACAAAGCCGCCATCTTACTCCAGTGCTTCCCAGTCCTCCATCTTAACATACATCTTAATACAAATAAGTAAACTAACACAAATATTCAACAGATACTGTGGTATTGCTCCCTGTAATGTGGAGCGTGTCAACGTAGCCAAATATTGCAACTTTGTTATGCACTGCATATAATTATAAGGTCTAATTTCATGGGAGCATTTTTATTTTACAAAACGTGTAACATTGCGGCACAGATATTGCTATAATTTGTTTCAAATTAGCTATAATGTACATTTTCATGTTCATTTGCTCATTTTTTTTGCAGTAGCTGGTCAGACAAGTGAGACAGCAGGCAAATATGTCTTTGGTACTATGAATTCCCAGCTTGCTACAGCTCGCCTTATTAGGAGGATACCTGATAATATTAATATCCGGATAGGCACTAACTATCATGCGAGTGATCATGCACTTCGCTATAGTATTTCATGTGCAAGCAGCCAAATGGCTGAATACGAAATGGCGCCAATCAAGTTGCTGTGCACGAAAAGGTTTTCCCACATGACCAATTTTATGAAGAGCTACAAATATGATGATACTACTGGGTACGCAGAAGATGTAGCTGCTACAATTTAGTATAGCTGCCTTATCCAATTTGTCAAAGCGTTTAAACATGGGCGAGTCGAAAGGTATGAACAATACAATATTTTATGTTAACAAAATTTATTCAGTTTATGGCATTTTCGTTCCTATATGGGCGGTTGCACTGCTATATTTGCTCTGCAACAAATTTTGTGTCACACTCTCTATTTTAAAACCGCTGTTACTATATGGACAGCCAACTATTGCTATATGCTTCAATTGAAAAACTGCGCACTTTTGCCATGCCAGGGTCGAGTCTTAAGTTGTCTTTCAGGGCAATTCTATTTATTTTTAGGGTAATTTGGCTATAGTAAGATGTAGGTAGGCCTAAAAAATTAGTTAATTAACTGACTACATGTTGATGCTCTGATGTAGTATTTCTACGATGAAATTCTTAGCGATATAAACATGTGTGGCCACCAAGAGTTTATCTAGATAATTTGTTGTAACAAGTTTTAAAGTGATGTCATATTTATGATATATTCACCTTATATTCCTACACGAAACGCTCGTGAGGAAGATGTGATTTGGTTGGTGAAAGTCAAAGTCAAATATGACCATATATTTGCAGTCATTGACCATTCTATATGTAGTTGTAAGTCGTATATATGCCCTTAAAATGGAAACGCATACAACTACGGTATAAAATATGGCGACGAAAAGGAAGAATAAAACCACGCAATGACGCAAAGCTTTTCTATGCTTCAGTTTGTGCTTGTATTGAAACCAAAATAAATTCTTTACATTTTTATTTGCGAAATACATCCTGCATTTCATATCTAATTCCGTAAATTATAAGAATTGACCTGCTTGTAATTCGGTAAATTTAGAAGCGGTGATCTTGTGTCAGTTTTTTGTTTATTGATTTTTTACTTGGATGATATATCAATTAAGGTTCTAATGGATCCTAAGGCTCACATCAGTACAATAGCACACCAGCTCTTACACTATATTTTTGCCCGCTGCCGATCGGTAGGGATGGAGACGCTATCTGAGCAAAACGATCGGGCTAGGGGTGAAACAGTGTTTCTTTTGAGTTTGCTGTTTTCGGTGCAGATAATAACTCTACGAACCATGCTATTTTTAACGGTACCTCCTTCATCCCCTGATCAACTGTCACATGTGAGTCACTGAAATGTGACTGAATGAACTGTCACAAGTGAGTCATGTGAAACCGTGGAATAAATGATACTAACATCAAAGTACACGCACACACAAAAAAAAAGAAAAAATACCTGTAAATGTGGCGATCATTAATGAATTTACCTTTACCCCCAAACACCAATTCAACGACCAAAACGGGTGTGAAAAGAACTGTGCTTAATCCTCCAAAACAAAAACTAACAAAAAAAACCCCAGCAGGTTAGTAAGAGGCTTCTCCCGTAGAGTTCACAAAATCGCGTGAAGTTGTTAGGGAAAGGGGAGGGATGGGTCACGCAAGCAACTTAACGACTCAATCAGGCAAACTGGGCTCATATTTATACTCACCGGAGGGGGCAAGTAACCGACCGGACCAGCGTCCTAAGACCCAAGAAACTACGATACGATACAAAGACTCATATAACATTAACTTCCTTCATTATTCAATAATAAATACATTTAACGTTCTAACAGATCCTAAGGGTCACATCAGTACAATAGCACACCAGCTCTTACACTATATTTTTGCCCGCTGCCGATCGGTAGAGATGGAGACGGTATCCGAACGAAACGATCGGGCTAGGGGTGAAACAGTGTTTCTTTTAAGTCTGCTGTTTTCGGCGCAGACAATAACTCTACCAACCATGCTGTTTTTAACGGTACCTCCTCCAAGTATGTCTCCAAGCCAGATGAAGGGTTGGAGTTAGGTTACCATTAACCTTCTCCACCAGTCTCCAACCCTACAGCAGCGGGGCAATGTTGAAAAATGACTGCAGAGATGTGCGAACATAGCGAAGGTAAACTTGGCTAGTCCAACGTCTAAGAGCTTGAATTAGATGATCCGGAATCCCAGCCGCAGCGGCGGAAGTAGCAGCCCAAATGCGAAAACTGTGAGATGAGTAGTTCCCCATTATGCCGGCCCGCCTCAAGATTTTGCGAAGGAAAAAATTGACTTGTTGAGCAGTTAAAGGGGAACCATCCGACCACAGGAATAGACAACCAGGGCCGCTGCCAAGCATTGAGGTAAGCCTGACATGACAGGGGAAAGATGATTGTTTGAAGACCCAATGTACAAGACCTGTCCGACGCCAAAAGGATCAGTCTTGGAACATTTGATGCGGAGACGAATGCCCACTGACGAACCAGAAGAAAAGTGTACATCAGCTAGTGCCAAATGACGGGGCGGAGCGAAAGGGACAACCGAAGTGAATTCGCTGACACACAGAAAACCAAAAAATGCCAGAGAGCACGCAAACATAACTGCATTGTACCCACCAAGATCACCAGCCGTCAACGAATAAATAACATCCAATAGATTGCGGGTTATCGGGCAGCGTAACAAGGAAACGCCAGACCGAGAACGACGGCTTTAGAAAGCCGTGGTTTCTCTTTCGTGGGATCCGGGAAGCCAAGGTCAATATGATAGGAACGGACAGCAGCCAGGTAAACATTGACGGTTGCAAGCGAGAGCAATTGCGCCAACCAGGAAGCGAACAACATCAACTGATTCTCGAAAGTAGGTATCGCAGGAGCAGAGAAGAACACGGCGGGGAAAAAGGGAACAAAAAGCCCAAAACTTCTTCATGCCAGCAGAATACGTGCGCTGAGAGGAAGCTGCCAAACCAAGGGCAAGGAAGCCCGCACACTGCATCTCTAGTTGACACTGAGCAGCTCCGACACCAGAGACAACGGGACAGGCGTGGGATGTGGATCCGCGTTGAGATGAAAGCAACAAAACTCCTGAAACCGAAAACGAGAAAGGCAATCAGCCGCCGAATTATGCCGTCCAGGGACGTGGCAGGCTACCAACACCAGTCTGCGTAACAACTGGATGGACAACTTGTCTTGGCAGGTCCCCGAATTGATTATTGTGACGACAGCGTCGTTGTCGGATAAGAACTCGATCTGTAACCGATGCCACTGCTAACCCCAAACATACGCTGCAACCACAATGGGAAACAATTCCAAAGAAGTAATATTAGTTGAAGGCGCAAAGGAGGGCCACGAACCGGCAAACTAAGCATTGGACCAAATAGCACCAAAGCCAATAGCTCACGAGGAATCAGAGGCAACAAACAAATCGGGAAGCGAACAAACGGATGATATTGCGGAAGAAACTGATTCTATTCCAGGATTCCATGAACTCAAGCCACCCGCCGAGATCAAGACGGAACTCCGTATTGAGCCGAATAGGGTGGGTAGGTGAATAAAAAGTGCAGAGGAAATTAATCATACGCCGGAGGAACGTGCAACCGGGCGGAACAACTTTCGTAACATGGTGAAGCGAGCCAATAAGGGATTCTAACTCTCGACGAGTGAACCAAGACTTACGATTCCATTTTTGGAGAAGCTCTACGATAGCCACAAATTTAGCGGATAGCAACCGAGCAGATTGGGTGAGATAATTTAGTTCCACATCTAAAAAGACCAACGTAGTAGTAGGACCCTCGCACTTTGACGGATGGAGAGGCAAACCCAAACGGAGGAATAAGGACCTGGCGATGGCTACATTACTAGCACACTCTGTGGAATTGCCGGGGCCAAGGGTCAGAAAATCGTCCAGATAGTGAAGTAGAAAACAAACGCGATAATTAGCTTTAAGAATCCATTCCACCATTTCGGCGACGGAGTTGAAGATAAATGGGGCGGAACGCAAACCAAAGGGAAGAGCCAAATCGACGAAATATGACTCGCGCCACCACATGCTAAATAAGAAACGTTCGTCAGGTCGGAGAGCGATGTTACGGTACGCACATTCTACGTCAAATTTGGCCATAAGAGCACCCGGACTAAGCAGTACTAAACGAGCAATGGCATGATCGACGGAGATGTAAGTCAAGGAGAAAGGATCCTTTGGGATGCCGTCATTAACGCTATGGCCCTCGGGTGACGATAAATCCAGCATGAGACGCCATTTACCAGGCTGGCCTTTCTTTGGAATCACCCCAAACGGACTGCACTGTAGATTAGGAAACGGTGGCGAAGCAAAAGGACCCGCGACACAACCATGCAAAATTTCATTTGCCAAATATTTGTCTATAACATCGGGATGTTAGGCCGATTTCATGTTTTGGTGAGATGATCGTAAAGAGACTAGTGAAGGATCAAAACCCGATGGAAAGCTGTGAGCTATACCACTCAACACGTTGGGAACCATAGCTGGATTGGGATGGTTGATTAATTCCAGATGAAACTCAACGATGTATTGAAGCAGCGAAACGAGGGAGACCAACGGAAACAGGATGCAGGATTCTGGCAATGGTGGATCTACAGCACGAACGAAAGCACCTACAACGGAGAGGAAAAATAGCAAGAACAGCGAGCTGAAGCGAACTGTGCCCAACTTAATCACAAGTGGAGCTAGATAAATATTTTATTCAGCAAATTCATAACCGAACATCAATTACAAAAAAGACTAAAATAGCGCACAGAACAATGTTAACGACCGGAACAAAAACAACAAACAAACCGACAACTACATATTAACTAAAGACGCGAGGTGTCTGATGATCGAAGCTTCTTCACGGGTTGCGAGCGAGATGGTGAACAAGGATGACATGTTGACTGGTGGGCAACACTACGACGATGGATTGCAGGACAACCCGGAAAATCAACAGGCATGACGGAACCGACACCGGAGGAATTCCGATGAGCACCGACCAGCGTTCCAAAAGTGACAAATAATGGAGGACGACGGGGTACCGGATGCTTCAAAGGAGCTGGAGGATGAGGAAAACAAAGTAGATACCCGCGAAGCAGGAGTAGAAGAAACACCGGCACCGAAGATATGAAAATTATACAGCTCCGGGTGGAGATGTGACCAATCGGTGAGGCGGAGAGCAGCTGCATGGCGACGAAAAGCGAGCCAGGATGCTTCTGAGCGGAGCGCAAAATAAGTAATTGGCAG